ATTTAGGGTAGCAGGATTAATCCCAACATTTGTGTTAGCAATTCTTCTGAAAATCCAGTCATCTTAACATCTTTCACTAAAATCAAATATAAAAAGCCATCTCTCATGATCTTTATCAATGGTTATTTTTGGCATATTTAATGGGGAAGTAACCCAAAGCAGGGAAGACACAGTAAATAATGAAAAAGCAATATAGTCTCAGAAACTCCTGCATCACTAAAAAAGCAACCATATTGGAGTTCTTTCTAAGCAATAACTAGGTAACAAATATAATACAATCAGCATCATTTCTGAAAGAGCATCTTATAATAAATTTTCATTTTTAATTCTTAAAAGGTACTAAAGTCTCAAGCATGAAAAGCACTAATGTTAGAAGTGATACTTACTAATGATAAATGCCTTACTTAAGCAAAAATACTCTTTTTAACACTGGTTTGACATACACTCAAAAGTCTAAACTAGATCTTCATCAAAGCAAGAACACCCCTTATGGGTACAAGACGGCCACATGGAGCAACGGAAAGACACCGCACAAGGTGGAATAAGCATCACAGATTGCTGTAGAGATTACACAGGTTAAGCTACATGATAAGAACAGCAGAGTGCCTGAGCACAAAATATATGCTCAATGTTAGCTTACTCCATTAAGAAAAAGCTGACTTGAGGGTTTTTTGTTTGTTTTTTTTTTTGGAGACAAGATCTCACTCTGTCACCCAAGCTGGAGTGCAGTGGTGTGATGAGGGTTCACTGCAGTCCTGATCTCCTGAGTAGCTGGGACTGCAGATACATGCCAACACACCCAGCTAATTTTCTTTTTTGGGTGGGGAGATGGAGTTTCACTTTGTCGCCCAGGCTGGAGTGCAGTGGCATGATCTCGCCTCACTGCAACTTCTGCCTTCCCTGGTTCAAGTGATTCTCCTGCCTCAGTCTCCTGAGTAGCTGGGATTACACGCGAGCACCACCATGCCCAGCTAATTATTTTTTATTTTATTTTTTTAAGTAGAGACAGGGTTTCACCAGGTTGGTTTGGCTGGTCTCAAACTCCTGACCTCGTGATCCGCCCGGCTGGGCCTCCTAAAGTGCTGGGACTATAGGCATAAGCCACCATGCCTGGCCACCCAGTTAATTTTTAAAATTTTGTGTAGAGATGGGATTTCAACATGTTGTCCAGGCAGTCCTGAGCTCCTGAGTTCAAGTCACTCACCCACCCACCCACCCCAGCCTCCGAAAGTGCTGGGATTACAGGCATGAGCCACCGTGCCAGGCCTGATTTGAGGTTTTAAATGACACATAGCAGAACCTTCACAGTTTTTAATCTTAACTTTTAAATTATTTTCAACACTCAAGGAATCTACTGATTAGCATCCATAGTCAAAAAGTATAGATCCTCTTTCCAGAAAAATGCACATATATAGGAGACTTTGCCGGCTATTTCAGGACATTCACAGACCCTCTAAAACTGAGAGACTTTATGAATTTCAGATTAAGAATGACCAGAATTTGTATAATTCAAGTCTTATGTGATAATAGACAATGCTTAATGTATGCTTGCTATGTGCTAAGAATGGTGCTAAGAAATTTAATGAATTATTTTACTTTTGCAACAACACTTTGTCGTAGATAGTAGTATCATACCCACACTACAAGTGAGAAAACTAAGAGAATGGTAAATTAACATACCCTATGTTACCAGGAAACATGTCAAAGGAAAAAAGTTCCCTAAAGGAAAATGCACAACAAAAATAATGATTTTTTAAAAAACCATACACAGCCAGGTACAGTGACTCATGCCTGTAATCCCAGTACTTTGGGAGGCCAAGACGGGAGGATCACTTAAGGTCAGAAGTTTGAGACTAGCCTGGTCAACAAGGCAAAAAGCTGTCTCTACTAAAAATACAAACAGTAGCCAAGTGTGGTGGCCCACACATGTAATCCCAGCTAATCAGGTGGCTGAGGCAGGAGATTCACTTTAACCCAAGAGGTAGAGGTTGCAGTGAGACAAGACCATGTCATTGCACTCCAGCCTGTGTGACAAAATGAGATTCTGTCTCAAAACAAAGACAGTAACAAAGACTACTGAAATAAAATAGTTCAAACCACCCTTACACTACGGTCCTAATTATGTGTGTTAACCACTCAACAGAGGTCAATCACACAAAAAAATATGGCTAAAGAATGAAAATGCTAACTAATATCCTCACTAGTCCTTGATCTTCTACTGAGGAAGAGGATGGGTGCAGCCAACATAAGCCCTGTCCTGCAGAGCCACTTCCATGACAATGGAAATAAATGTGCATGTAAGACCCCTTGAAAGGTTGTGCCTTTCCTGCTTTGGCTAGAGCCTCTGTCATGCTGCCACATGGTTTCTATGTAAATGAACTGGCAGGAAGAATCATTGCCGACCAGTTTAGGGAGGTTCTGGGCAATGTTATCTTTGCCTTTTCTTGCCTCCCTCACTACCCCTCCCCACCAGTGAACACAGTACTTTTTATTAGAAAACATCCAAGCTAACAGATTCTCAGTACAAATAAAAATGTTGCCTCTCCAGCACAGATAGAAAAACAAACAGGTAAGTTAAAACTTACAAAATTAAATCTGATGAGTTTATTTCATCATTAGTGTAGAAACACAGATCACATATACCTGAATATGCAAAGAAAGTTAAATTATGATGCAATCAATGCTATCCTATAAAAACCAAATTAACAAAAATAGTCTATTAGGGAAGACATCTGGTGTATCATGGCAAGAAATGTTAATGATATTGTCTGCAACCCTGTAATCAATTTTTTCTCCCAGCAGCTCTCTCATTACACTGTATTAGATCTGCGTGCCTGCAGAATTTATGAGCGCTTCACATATGGGGAAGCTTTGCCAACTGGATCTGATTCAGATCCAGCTCAAATGACTTTGGCAGCACAAAGCATCATTAAAGAACAATCAATACAGTTAGCTTTATGCACCATCATCTTGACTAAAAGAAGATTTATCCTCTCATTACAGAATCTCTCACACCTACATATAACGTATCCAAGTGCTCCACCAGTTAGGAACTTATTTAAATCCTCAGTAGACACAAGTATTTTTACTGCTAAAAAATACATACTAGTCATCATTAATTCTAACACAAAAAGTTTACAAAAAAAAATCAATGTTATTATGGGGAAAACTTAAAATCCATTCAGCAAATCCCACTGAGTTTTACAGTAAATAAAGTATTAACAACAGCATCTACATTGATGAAGAAAATATCAGCCTGAAAGATAAAACCTGCTTTTCAGATATATGTGAAAATAAGATAGTAACTGGTAAAGGCTGAAGCTTTAGAAGTAGGCAGTCACATTGCTAATATACTAATTTGTCCCTTAAGATGTCCGTCTTAACAGACTTTTATCTATACTACACTGGGTTCTGTCTTCCACTGTAAATGGCTATTATTTCAAGAACACAAGGTTTCCATAATGTGAAACCCTCACCCCTTTTTTTGGTCTAATCCTTAAGTAATTACATCAGCAAATATGTAAACATGATATGCTGCCGCAACAATTACTCCTGATTTGGTTACAATTATTAATACACCATCGCTACTGTCTTGGTCCTTTTCATCTTACTCATGAATGGCGGCCCTAACCTCCTACTTGGTACTTTCATCATCTTTCCCCATTCCACGCTGCAAACTGCTGCATAATCAATCTTCTTAAGCAGTGGTCTGCAAGTCGGCTTGCCTCGGATAAAAGCTTACACAAGCTCTCTACTGTATATTACGTAAAATCTTTACTTTGCTAACCTTGAAGATCCTCTATAATCTGGCCCCATCTAATACCTCCACATCTGCTCCCAAAACCCACTAACCTGTGCTCTTCAGTGATGTCCTGCGGGTCATCTTCTCACGACTCCCAGACTCGTCAGGCTCATTGCCTGTGTTGCTTTTTAGGACAGGTTGCCGTGTACACCTGGAAGGCTCCTACACTCTGCCTACCCATTTCTTATTGATGTGTGGAAAAACATATCCAGCTCCTCAAAACCTACCCCACCTTTACAGAACTTCCCCAAGTGCTACGACCCATCTGGAGCACTCTCTTCTTCCCCCCAAGATATCAATGTTCTACATTGTAACTGAACAATTCATGTATTGATAGTATCTTGCATTGTGTGTCTAAGCGTGAGAGAGCTCGCTATTCTCCTGTATTATTTGCTAATTCAGTATAAACTGGGGTGCCATAGTCACTTCTTTACACTGAATTCAGTGCTTAACTAAAACTACACTTCTTTCATATTAACAGAAGCCTTAGGTACCCAGTAGTCATTCAAAAAACATTACCATTAAATCCTACCATTAAAGGAAGGAAAAGAAAGAAAACTGTGAACTTTCCTAAAAGGAGAGACATACTGTGTGTTTTAAGGGGTAAAGCACTACAGATACTTCATCCTGCTGCCTCTTACACATCCCTCAGGACTACCACTAGTAACAGAGGAATAACCAGAGGATAGCTGTAAGAAGTAGAGCTACCGCCTGACCCAAGCCTTTTGAAGTGCTTATTCTGTATCTAGCACTGCAGAAAAGCCTTGCTAATTCTGAGCAATACTCTACAAAACATCACCTGAGAGGACAACACCCAAAATAGTTGAGATTGGTGGGCCATGAGTCCCAATGAGCCTGGGGAAACGCACATTGCACACCTGGACTCAAACTTACCCCCTTTTTTCCCCATTTCAGTTGCCAACATCCATACTCGCTGCTGATTGCCAGCTCCTGCTCCTTGCAGCAGCCCAGCATGCTCTCTCCCTTCCACCAAACCCCGCTAACTTCTGGAACTGTCCTAGAGGGGTAAGGCAAGTCCCGTATTTTGCTTCCTCTGTGCATGTACTTGTTACTCCTTTAAAAACACATATAATACAGCACATTTTAAAAGGGGCTCTGGGGAGGGAGGTAATATTCCTATTTTATACCCTATGGGATATAAAATACTGATAGCTTTTAAAAACGGGATTCTCCTTACCCCTACAGGCCCTCTCCCGGCTTCAGAAAGATGCTGTGGTGGCTGTGATGCCACCGGCAGAGAGCATGCTGGGGGGTCACACAAAGCAGGAGTTGGAGATCTGCAACAGGCCTGGGAGTTGTGGACCTAAAAAAGAAAACAGTTTTAAGTTAACGTGCCCAATGCCCCATCATGCCCTGGTTATTAGGGGCACGCAGCACACAAGTCAGTATCTGCAAAAACTCTTTAGCAGATGACCTCTGACACCTCAGATAATTTGTGCTACCACTAAAGTTAATCTTTTTGCATTAATCAAAGCGGTTTCCTTATTTCCGTGTGAACAAACATACGACCCTTCTGGCTCCACACTTTAATCCAGGTCCTGTCATAAAGCAGTATGGTGTGTGCCCCTCAAAATAACCAAGTTAAGATGTGAGATAGTGCCAAAGCACAGTTAACAGCAGCATGCTATGCTTATAATAAAAACAGAAATGCAATGGCATCAGATAAACACAACCATAAAATGAATCACAAGTGGACAAACTGAGCTTTCAGAAGAGTTTCTAATGACAGAAGCTAGAGGCATAAGATATGTACTTAATAAGGAAACAGGGCATTTGGGTCGACAAAGAAAGGCCCTGCCATTTTCTCAAAGTTCAAATTTAATTGTGTAAAGCTAAAGGCAAAGTAAATAGACAAAGGCCCCAAAATAGAAGAAAAAAGACAACATTCACATGAGTTAGAATTTTCTCAAAACGCCCACAAGATAAGTATAATGAACAGGCACAGAGCATAAAGTTCCAGAAAGGCATTACTTCTTTTTATAGCAAAACTAGTTTAGTATGTATCACATGGCTTTTTAAAAATTAACTGAAAACATTTAAAACTAGGAGAAAAAAAGACTGTCAAGCAACTTCTGAAAGCTAGCACAGTCCTTGTAAGTATCAGAAAGGATACCTCAGATAATAGTTTGAATATGTTCCTTTACAAATATTTTAGAAGGTACATAACATTTTTAAACCAATTTCATGTGGTTTCGAATGAACTGAAAAAATCCATAACATTCCAATACTTATACAAGAAGCGGTCTTACAGTTGTCTAAAAATTACAGGTGAACAACCTTTTAACATTAAATCATTATTAGTGTGCCCTGTTACATATAATTCCCTTTGAAAAGCAAAGAGTAACTGTCTAACAACTTTCTGTGCACAGATTTTAATATATTTCATTAAGTATTTCTGTAGGCCTCTTAAGCTTCCTACACATACACATACAACAAATACCAGGAAAATACGCTAATATTCAGAATGTTTTGTCATGATCATTTTCTTTTCCTTTTGTAAAGATTACCATCTAGAGTACATCCTGGGATCTACACAGCAAAATTTCTGTGCAGTTGGTCTCTGATTCTCATGGCCTCAGTGGTAATACAGCTGACACAGAGTGTCAGCAGCCATAACCTTCTCACCACACACCTTCTCCCCGCCACCACCGGCACTACAAATTCCAAATTAAAAATTCGACCGTGCACTTGAATGTATAGCATATTCAATATTATTTGCCAGAAGCATCAAAATAAAAATAGACTTCTGGTTAATCTCTTGCACTAGGAATACGACTGCCCAAACCACTCAAATCTTTATATTCAAATTAAGGGTTTTAAATCAAAAACACCTGGTAAAGCATTTCCAAACACTTTAGCATTATTTTAAACATGCAAATAGTTCAAGCATTATTAAAACATTTGATGCATTTTAAAAAGGCATTTGGTTCAAAGCATGTCATTATTCTTACATACGAATGGGAAAATGTTGATGGTATATGTTTCCCTAATTGTTTTTGGTACTTCTAATAGGTTTTCCTTGGACCACTGAGTTGGTTCTTAATACAAGCATCCATATATAAATACAAATTACATATTTTCAGTTCTAAAGAATTAAGTTTGAACAAGACTTTACCAATATTCTTGCACAGTAGATCGCTGCAAATATCAGACTGTCTCAACCTTTCTTAAGCTCCTTTACAATTAGAATACCTAGGGTTTTCTGCATTGAAAAAAATTTCATATAGATAACAATTTTAGTAAACATTTTCAGAAATATATTTTATGGAAATACACAGAATTAAACAAAACTTTTTCAGTAGTTTCTTAGAGTTCCTTGACCCAAGTTAAATTAGAAGAAAATAAATTACCCAACCTCACAGTAATAAACACTAAAACTTAAAATCCCAAGTGGCCTAACCTGACTGTCAGCCATGAGTGAAGACAGACTGCTGGGAACCTCAGAAAACGGGGCCAATAAAGTGTTGGATTATTTATTCCCAAAGCCTCATTTTGATTTCCATTTATGTGAACACTACTCTGTCCATTTAGAGGCTGACATCAGTATCATGCAAAAAGGATGTGGTGGTTCAAAAAACTTCCATCACTCCGTAATTGTGGCGGGAGGGGAGCACAGATACACAACCTCCTCTGACTGTGACCACCAAACTCAGGGCTAAAGAATTCCATCCTGCGGCTGTGGTGTAATCCCAGCACTTAGGGAGGCCAAAGTGGGTGGATCACGAGGTCAGGAGTTCCAGACCAGCCTGGCCAACATAGTGAAAGCCCATCTCTTCTAAAAATTCAAAAAATTAGCCAAGGGGCTAAATTAGGTGGTGGGAGCCTGTAATTCCAGCTATTTGGGAGGCTGAGGCAGGAGAATCGCTTGAACCTGGGAGGCAGAGATTGCGGTGAGCTGACATCATGCCATTGCACTCCAGTGTAAGCGACGAGTGAAATTCCATCTCAAAAAAAAAGCATTTCATTCTACCTATTGTCTCTTAAAGAATTAAATTAAATTAGAAATTTCAAATTTATATGTGAAAAGGCCACTAAGTCCTTGCATATAATAGCTGGAAATACTTGATAATGAACTTTAAAGTTTCACTTCATTATCCAGCACTACACAAGTCACAAAGGTATTACTAAGTGATACTGACCTTTTTATATGGCACAAGCCAAGAAAGTAAAGAGAAGAAAGAGCTATAGAAAGAAATACTCAATTTTGCAGGCCTACCTTGAAGAACTGTCAGAAACAGAAACAACTGCTGTGTTGCACAGAAACAAATCATCATAGTGTAAGGCATTTTTCATAACAGCTGGCCTTTTCTGGGATGTTCACATGTATACTAGGCCCCCATTTATCTTTGCTGAAAGTCAGTCATATAGAAAACTCAAAACAATACAATGATGCCTAAAAAAATGTTATGACTTTGGCTACATTCACTCAAATTCCTAAAGAAAACAAGAAACTGAATTTTCTTCACGTATTTTAAAAGAAACAGAATTTCATTATTTCTATATATTATACACTGCAGGCTAACCAAAGGTGAGTGAGTAGACTTCTTTGGCTTAAGAGAAGGTTAATTTGTTGTTGATGTGTGCACTGTATCAAACAACTACTATTAAAGTTTTTTGTTTTTTTAACTTATCCAGTGAATGTATTCCACTTAAATCGTACTTCATTCAGTACTCAATAAATATTTGCTATGGACATGACAGTCAGACAATGTGCTAAGCACACAACATGCATCAGTGAATAAAAAGCATAAACCTACAGTACCCGCTAAACGTCAACATCACAATCGTGTCATTCTATGGGGCCCTGGACTCTTTGTAAGTTTGACCTTTCAGTCTAAAAACAACATACTTGGCAAGTAGGCACTTTACATCCCAACTTCACAGGTAAATAAAGAAAGTTAAGAGGGTTAAGTGTATTTCCCAAGGTCAGGAAAGACAGCAACTGATGGAAGGAGTATGTGAACTCAGACAACTCGATGTCGAAGTCCAGGCTCTGAATCTGTGAAATCTGCCGTCCCTCATCTCAATCACAGAATAACAGATCCTAAATTCTGAATTAGCCATGTTCAAATTATGTGGACTTCCCACCCACCTCCCACCAAAAAAGGGCTCTAATACAAGAATTACCTCCTATTAAACAAATGCCCGTTCCTTGAATGTCTATACACTACAACTTCTGTGCTGAGTGGTAATAGCCAAGCTGGGATTAAAGAACTGCACTATATAATGCATAAGTCTGATAATCAAGTCACTGCGTGTACACATGAATGCGTGCACAAAAAGTGTGTGTAATGAAGTCACTATGTGAGGGTATCTCCCACCGTTATCTATGGTCCTAATAAGAAAAGAAGACATAATTACTCATCCTCAATAAGTTTTCATCACAAAAGAGGAGGAAATAGCTTCTTGCTACTTTTAATCCATTTTTAGGAAACTAAATTTGGTGGAGGGAGCACCATCTCAATGGCAAGTTGAAACTAAGGTGAAGTTAATTTCTCGGCAGCCCTTCTTCGGTTGGAGTGTCAGGGAAGGCATGAATAAAGGGTGATGAGTAGCAAACAACTTATGAGTACAGACCAGGGATCAGACAGAAATTCCCAGTGTTTGTCCTCCAGCTGCTCACATTTGACAATGAAACAATGAGAGGGATATGGCTTTAAGTGATTAATAATTTGGCCCCCACATTCACGGCAGCAATGGAAATGTGCATTCTCAAGGTTAACTAGTAGTACACATCCTTAGCTATTCCACATTCAGAACTAGCACTTAGAAGGCATGCTGTTAGGAACACAAATGATACAGTAGTACTCTCAATCATGCGGAGCTGTAACAGTACATTGAGCCCAGCGAACCTTCAGCTAGAAACACCTTAACATCCCTAATCACATATCCCCAACTCTAAGGAATCTCTATATCAGGTTTAACTTTAAGGACATTTTTCCCAGTTTTAACAAAACAGTTAAAAATGAATCAATGTTATTACCCCAAAATAGTACCTATAACAGCTACATATAGTACCCTAGAAACTCATTTGGTGTTAAGTCTATGTAACTTTAGGAAACCAAAAAAAGCATGTTTTCCTCTACTGTATGAATGACAGCAATACAGGTATCCACACTGAATTTCCATGGAGAATATTACAGGAGTGAGTTTGATTATTTGTGAATAAAGAAAGGTAGGAACTGCTACAAGGAACTACTACACAAGGAACTCCTCAGTGTCATACTGAATAAAAATTACTGTCTCAATGACCTTGTTAGCATTCTCAGACTCCACAATTATTTCCAAATGGCAAATTATTTGTATTATACTTCATAACTGGGTTTCCATAAAAATATAATTCTACTGTTTTTTGTAAACACACAAAAGAAATCATTTCTTTTAGAACTAAAAGTGACTGTCCTTCTCCTTGTCAATCCTATTCAGAATGTTCTCCAAAGAATACTGACAACCAGTAATGCCAGAAGTTGTCTCTCCACTTAGAATCTAAGATCACTGAGAAAAGGAACAATATTTTACACTTCTTCAGTCCCCTTTAAGGTGCTGAGTTCAATAAAGAACACAAAGCAGGTATTCAGTAAATGCCTGTGGAAGGCCCTGAGTATAGCCCAAAACATTCCTATTTGCACTCTGTGATACAATGCTCCTGGATGATATTGACTCATTCAGAACAAAACTCTCAAAGTAACTAAGTCACATGGTGGCCTATAAAAGCTATAAGAGGGCAGCAGAAGGGTTGGAGATGTTAATCTGGCTCTTTCCATCGCAATTAATGAAGAACCACTCAGAAGGAACAGGATAACCTAAGAATCCAGTGGGAAGAATATCCGCGCAGTGGGACCCAGGAGAGTCCAGGAAAAGGTGGCTGTGCACGCACGCCCCTTGGCAGTCTACTGCTCTGCCCACAGCTCCCCCATCCTCTGCTTTTCCTACTTTCCTACCCTACCTTGTGAGCTTGCCTATGCCAGCCCCAACCTTGCTCTTGTCATTAAGGTAATTCTTTTTTTATTTTTAATTTTTACAGATTATATATAAAGGTAATTCTTGAATTACCTATTCGCCTTTCCTCTCTACTGACTGCCTCAGTCTCTCAGTTTCTCAATTCAAATTGTAAAAACAAAATTTGACTCAATTAATCTTTTCATGCCAGGCCACAAGGATCACAGATTGTCATTCTGTATTATTATTCCTTCAAAAAGCTAAATAAAGATTTTTGCCAGCTATTTTACTATTTAGTTCAGAAATCTACGGTGCAAAGCATCCTTTTTAATTAACGATACTTCTTTCTCTTGCTTCTAAATACCCACTGTCCATAATTCTACCTCTTCCATTTGCTTAAGCTCAGGCTTTTGACTGCTTGTTCCATAGATACCTTGGTCAGTGCATTCAAACACAATCAGCTCTCTCCATTTTTAAATAAGTCCAATCAAATGAATACTTCCTAAGCGAATGAAAGCTTCCTAATGGAATACATAATTCAGTACCTTTAAAACCTCAGTTGAGTTAGGAGTTTAATTACTTGATACTACCCTGTGTAAGTGTGGGCTCGAAATACACCTACCAGTGTAGGCATGGTAGTGTCCCTACGTGTTTTGATGTTAAATAATTTTCTGGGGGGAGAGACAGAGTCTCCCTCTGTCGCCCAGGCTGGAATGCAGTGGTGTGATCTCGGCTCACCACAACATCCACCTCCCGGGTTCAAGCGATTCTCCTGCCTGAGTCTCCTGAGTAGCTGGAATTACAGGCACACACCATCACGCCTGGCTAATTTTTGTATTTTTTGTAGAGACGGGGTTTCACCACGTTGGTCAGGCTGACCTCGTGATCTGCCTGCCTCAGCCTCCCAAACTGCTAGGATTACAGGCGTGAGCCACCGCATCCGGCCAATGGTTAAATATTAATAAAGCAGAAGCCATGGATCCTATCCCCATAGGCAAAATAACCACAACCTATCATCCATACTCAGACATTTCTGAGAGTGAAAGGGGAGGCTGTTTAATAAATACTTTAGCAAGACAACAGACAGGGAGTAGGACATAGAGGCAGCTGTGTTCTATACCACAGACTTGGATTCTAATGGAATACAGCAGCAGAGCCTAGAAGACAACCCAGGTCCCCACATGAAATACAAAGACCCTTCTCTTTATCTTATGTAGAACTCTTTCATGAAATGTGACCCTAGGCCCTCAGTTCAATAAACTGTCATTATTCTAGTCTCCTCCTCCTCCACTTCACGCCTCATTTAGCTTTTGTTGTCTTTAACATCGTAATCATATCATAAAGGACATTCATCCAGTTATGTTTACAGTCCCCAAACATACTTTATACTCAAAATTTCACCATGGCCAAGGGATTCTCATTTATAATATTAATAATGAAACATCTCTCTCAGTTACAACCCCAAATCAACTTTTTATTTTATGATTGTTAAAAAAAATACCTAATTACTCAACATTTCAAAGCTAGCCACGTTATTTGCTGTGAGCAAAACCAAATTCAATTTCTTCTCCTTTTTAAAATCTCGCAGAGAAACAAAGCTTATTTCCTTTTGCTCATCTTTTTCCCTTATAGCTTCAGTAAACTGAGGGAGAAAAAAAATCTTGATTATTTTCATCTACTTGATTATCTTTTAATAAGTACAGAGAGGCAAGAAAGTAGAAATAACTATATTTATTCCAAGAGCAAATATTTCATCATCTGTTATTCTTACACAACTATGAGGATGTGCTATATACAGAACCTCAAACAAAAACATAAGAAATGGCAGTGTATGACTTAGAAAAAGGTATCTAAACATATTGCACCCTATTTCCCAGATTGTTTTTGTAGACAGTTTTAATGTGTTGTATTAGACCAATACTGATAACAGAAGCTTCAGCTTTTATTGCTGTTAATACTCTGAGAAATTACTGCCCAGAACAGCAACTATCACATTGTAATCGGCAATTCATAAGAGACGCTGTTCAAACATGAAGGCCCCTGCTAATGTGCAAAAACTGTACAAAGGGGCCTCAAGATCTAATAGGTAAAATGAAAATATTTGTAATTTTATTTCACAGCTATATGGTGCACTGATATTTGGTTTAGTAAAAATTACACACAAAGACAATAGGCAGGAAAAGGGCAGTAGCAGCAGCCACTACTAAAACAAAACTCTTCAGGAATAAGGATACACCTGTATTTCAGGTGTCAGTACTATATCTGTATTTAAAAAAAAAAAAACTTAGGAAGGAAAGATATAATAGCAAAGATCTCTAAAAATGTTGTTTTTTAAATTCACATTGACATAAAAACAGAAAGCATTTGATTCACGAGATTAAACTGCAAGGCCACCTTGCAAAGCAACTCGGAAAGTTAAAAGCTGCCTATCAAGAATAGATAAATCTTAGAAGTAAATGGCACATTTGACTTTGTCTTAAAACCGTAAGCATGCAGTAACTTATGCAATAACTTTTTAACAAAGAAAAATAAATGACACATGATTTTTTTACTGAATATACTAAATTTGGTATTTGGGTTATTAAAAATGATTAAAAAATAAAGGAGATGCAGAGAAAGATCTTTTCAAATTACATTTCTTTAGACTGAAATACCACGTCCAATAACATATCTCAGAACACAAATATCGTCAAATTACAAAGGGTGTTGAAAATAAGAGCAGTCACAGATACTGATAAACATCTCTATAAAACTAAGGAATTAGGAATTCTCCACACCTAAAAGTACAGACAGTGGTTCACAATCTTCAAAGTACTAGGATCCCTCGTAAGATCAAAATATTTCAGAAGATTCTCTAATGATACTACTTCGGTAGTATTTCAAATACCAATTGTTTGAGGAAAATGCCTAACAAATAGTGGTTCTTGCCAGGTGCAGTAGCTCACACTCGTAATCCTAGCACTTTGGGAGGCCAAAGCAGGCAAATCACTTGAGGTCAGAAGTTGGAGACCAGCCTGGCCAACATGGTGAAATTCCATCTCTACTAAAAATACAAAAAAAAATATTAGCCAGTCATGGTGGCACGCGCCTGTAATCCCAGCTACTCAGGAGGCTGTGGCAGGAGAATCACTTGTTCTCGGAAGGTGGAGGCTGCAGTGAGCCAAGACTGAGCCACTGCACTCCAGCCTGGCGACAGAGTGAGACTCTGTCTCAAACAACAACAACAAAATAGTGGTTCTTAACTGTGTTTTGGTCTTAAATAAGTGAATTTTTAAAAATCATAAAAGCATACTGAAACAGGCTAAAAAATCATTGTCCAGACATGTATGAGATCGATTTATTTATATAAAGCCTAGAATGTTTATTTGCAGACCTCTGCCAAATCTCTGGAAACATCCAGGGATCCAAAGCCTAAAGTGTGGGAACCACTGTTCTAAAAAAAGAGATTTCATAATGGGCAACATCAACACTTATATATTCAGGCGGAGTTTTTAATGAGAAAGTACGGTAGCTATGTTCTCATTTCTGCAGCACATGCACTAAAACTGGAAAGAAAGTATAATAGCTTTAGCATGCCCAAGCCAGACTTCTCGCAACCTCTACCCTGGGAAACCCCCACAACAATTCAACATAGGCTCCACACCAGCCGAAATATTGAAGGAAGTGACAGGTTTCCACTGGAAACTATTATCTGACCTGTTTATATTATTTTCCCTACTCATCAATTACTTTACTTCAGGCTCTTAACAAGGCTGAGAAGAAACAAACTACTTCAGGAATTCAAGGGAATCTCTGAAATTGTCAAAACAGTTACTAAAGGGATAAAAACTTCAGAAATACTGTTTACAATATGAGCATTATGACAGTAAGTGTTAGAAAGCTGAAAAGATGGAACTAGTAACCCTCATTTTAGTGCTACTGCCATGAGGTAGTTCGCACTCAAAAGGTGAACTGGTAACCACGTCAACAGCGATGGAGTAACAATCAGAAGAGATAGCCAATGGAACTGGAAAAAGAGAATACAGAGCAGAGTGAACAGCACATTAAAAACGCTTACCAGTTTGAAGTCTTGAATGCTACAGATGAAATACGGTGTGTTTGGCCTCCGACTCTCGATATACACACAGTCTTTAAAAGAAAAAGAAATTTTAAAACAATGGCATTTACCTTTAAGGGAACAAAGACAGGGCCCATAAAGCCACTGCATAAATAAATAAATGACAAGGCACATATCTTTATTGTAACTTTTTTCCTAAAGATGATATTAAATCGCTAATAACTTTAGGTTAAAGGAAAACAGCCATTTGGTTTTTCTGAATATTTTTCTACTGATTTAAAGAATCTGATGAAGCCTAAATTATTTTCTTCAGAGTCCCTGAAGAAAAGGGGAAGGAATCCACGGGATTATCCATATTCAGATGAAGACATTTAGATAAAAGAAATTGCCTGCTCAAGATCACACATCAAGATGAAATCCTGAGTATCTTATTCAGATAGATGCTCCTATCCCTTCAAAAAAGAGAAATATAAGCTTTGCCAAGTGCTACTATATTTGTAATAAATATTTTGTGGGGAAATAAATGAAATACACAAAGATGACAAGCTTGAACATGCTAATACAATGGCCTTTTCAACTAACCAAAAAAGAGAAAGAAATCTAATCTAATCTCTTATAGACAATTTGCTATTACATTGTACCCTAAACACATTTTATTTTCTAATTGTAAACAAAAGCAATGTTACTAATCAGAGATGGAATAAAGCAAACCAAATTACATTTTCTTCAGGGAAGAAGAATGCTTTCTTAAATTACATTTGACATGGCAGTGGTTGGATAATAATTTTTGATGCTTTCAATGACTGGAGTGTAAAGGGTTTTTTTTTTTTGGGGGGGGGGGCTTGTCTCCAAACTCCTGGGCTCAAGCAATCCTCCCATCTCAGCCTCCCAACGTGTTGGAATTACAGGCACTCAGCACCATGCTTGGCCAAGGTTGCTTTTTAAAATGGCATGTTAAGACACTTAAACAAAAAGCAATGATTTTAAAGAAAGCAGTGGCTACAGAGAGAGGTAACCTCCTCCCACCCCCATATCACAACCTGAGATCATCATAAAGCTTAGCACAGGAAAGTCTATGTGTTATTTATTGAAAAGCAAGGACACAGTCAATCAAATCTAGGAAGAGTGACCTTAATGCCTCATTCATCCACTCATTCATTTTGAATAGGAAGGGCCTCACTATGTTGCCCAGGTTAGTCTCAAACTCTTGGGCTCAAGCTATCCTCCTGCCTGGGCCTCCCAAAGTGCTGTGATTACATGTGTTAAGGCACCATGCCCAACTCACAATGCCACTCATTTTGCACTTCCTCTTGGCCCTTCAGAATGTGTGTGTCTTAGAATAATTCAGGTGCTTGACAACACAGGCAAATTCCTCTACTGCCTCATGTGTCTTATGTGTTAAGAGCCAAGGAAAAGCACAGAAGTGGCAAATGGGAGTCGTCACAAGCCCTAGCAGCCTCACTAAGACGATTACGAAGAAAGTCCTCACAAAAGGGTACATTCCAAGAAACTTTCTGCAGAACATCAGGATCTTTGTACCTACCCAAAAGACACTCCAGAAAAAGAAGACATCTCAATGCCAACTATTCAGACATTCGGAATTCCCCAACTGGTTTCTCTACTCAAAGGTGGACTCAACAGAGATTTAATTCCTGAATCCATGTAAAACAGTCACTGAATCCATGTAAAACAGTCACTGAATCCATGTAGAATCCCTGAATCCATGTAAAACAAGATAGGGAAAGCTCAGTCAACAGTTCGCTCCTTCTGACTGAGCTTTCCCTATCTTGTTCCAGGGTCCCAGATGCCGAATAACTCTGCTTCAGCATTCAGGCAACATCAACTTAACAAGCTAATCATCTTAAGGGACAAGCAAGAGAATTCTTCCCACCCCAGTAGATCATTCTTTCATACTCCTACCTTGGTATTCAAGTAAAAACTGAAGAAACTCAATTCCCTAGATAAAAACTGTAGCTCCAAATCACACAATTTTGGAACAACCCAAAGTTCTTAGTTTCCTGTGTTTCAGTCCCTGTTGTACCCACTGTCAGCATTTCAAATCTCTAGTCATCAATTATTTACTCATCTTACTCAACTCAATATGCCCTCTCCTTTCTGTCGCTTTCTATATACTATATTTCATGACATTAACACCATCACAGTCTAGCTACTGACAGAGCGGAAGGATCGCCATCTTGGACAAGCACCGTCATTTTAAAGTACTGATCAAAAACTGCCTAAATCCAACCCAAAGGGCATCAGCCTAATGGCTAATGTTATCATGACCATAAACCACAAGTGACATCTTGGATCAGAAACACTCCAACTCTAAGATAAACCCCTCTCCCACCAGAGACATTCCAGCCCCGAGATAACCTCCCCTCTGGCTGGAGAGATGTCAGCCCCGAGACATTCCAACCCCACAATAAACTTCTCCTCCACAAAGAAACATTCCAGCCTGTGATAAGCTCTCTCAACCTAAACCTTTAAATACTCTCAGTCTGCAAGAGAGAGTGCTCCTGACCAAAATCAGCCAGAAGCCCCTCTCAGGTTTATTCTCCAAAATGAACCGTTTTTAACTGTTGGGCGCTTTTAGCATTTCTTTCCTCATTCTTTAATTTTACAGCTACTATTCACTGGCTTCACAACTAATAGGCCCCCCTCCCTTTTTTTTTTTGAGATGGAGTCTTGCTTTGTCGCCAGGCTGGAGTGCAGTGGTGCAATCTCCGCTCACTGCAACCTCTGCCTCGCAGGTTCAAGCCATTCTCCTGCCTCAGTCTCCCAAGTAGCTGGGATTACAGGCACGCCACCACGCCTGGCTAATTTTTGTATTTTTAGTACAGACAGAGTTTCACCATGTTGACCAGGATAATCTCTATCTCTTGACCTCATGAGCCACCGGCCTCAGCCTCCCAAAGTGCTGGGATTACAGGTGTCAGCCACCACACCCAGCCTCATAGGTCTCTTTCTAATTAATTACTTTTATCTTAAGGCTCAAGTGACAAAAAAACTTGCTGCATTCAACAATCTGGTCTCATTCCACACCCCATCTTTCCCTAGGCTGCATTTACTACAAGAAATCCCAACTCTACTCCCAGTCTGTGCAAAACTCTTTCTTCTCTCCTTCTACCAATCCCTGATCACACCAACCTTAGAATTAGTTATTAAGTAGTTCCATATGCACTAACTTCTCATGGCTCCTCTGTAACTAAATGGCAACATCTCCCTTCTTTTACATAACATTAGCAATTTATACTCCTTGTGTGTTATTTGGCAATCAGGTGGTCTGCACTGTCCACTATCAATTACTATCGATCTTGTAAGCTCAGAGAAATGTACTCAAGTCTACCTTCCCTGTACTCACCAAGGACTAAAGTCTGCCATTAGTGTGGGGCTTTAAAAAAAAAAAATAAAGCCAAAGCAGGTGGATCACCTGAGGTCAGGAGTTCAAGACCAGACTGGCCAACATGGTGAAACCCCATCTCCACTAAAAATACAAAAATTGGCCAGGCATGGTGGTGCACACCTGTAATCACAGCTACTCGGCAAGTCAAGGCAGGAGGATCCTTGAACCCAGGAGGCGGAGGTTGCAGTGAGCTGAGATCATCCCAGTGTACTCCAGCCTGGGGGACAGAGTGAGACTGTCTCAAGAAAAAAAACAAAACTGAAATAAATGGGAGATACTTAGAAAGCAAAAACTATGTACCATGTTTTTCTTTTTACACAAAGAAAAGCTTTTTAATATATACTTTAAATAATCTATAGGATCATTATTACTACACCAGCATCTTACTCTAAGACATAAAGCTAGCTTATACATAAAAAAGCTTTCCAGAAAAGGAAAGAGAACCTATGTTCTTTCATTTCAAACACCAAAGTTACATTCAGGAGAAGGACTGCCTGTAAATACACTAGGATATAGCTCTGTTAGAGAAGGAAGGAAAGGAACGTGCTGGTATGTCAAGGGCAGCCAAGGACATCTGTTTGCTTAAACACTTCTCAGCAGTTGGACTGGAGCTGCCTCACACACCTGGCCTGAGAAACACTGCCATGAGGGATAAGCATGAGAGAGATCCTCAACCGGACATATGGAACACTATTACTGTTTATTACATTAAAAGTCACCTCTTTTTGTTTAAAAAGCTACCATGGTAACTCAAACTGATCCAAAGCTGTGAATTCATATCAGACAGTCCAATATACAAGGCTAATAATCTGTAAAATGGGTGACTGCATCAAGTGATCCCTATTAGTACTTTAAAACGCATATATGAAAAAGTTAGATAAGCTCACTGCAAAATTAAGTGACAAAATTTAAAGAGTGTACAGCTGGAGAGTAGAAAATAAAAAAAAAAAAAAAAAGACTCTACATACATAGTCGTAAAACACAGAATGGCTAAGATGGGGTAAAATAAGAACTAAAAATGGTTCACACTATGTAAAACTTGCCATAGGAATGGAGAAAAAATACATTGCTTTGACCTGATTTGTCTAAGTCAGTTTTAAAATCAAAGCACGACAAATTATTGTAGAGTCAACCTTTTCTTTATAACCCTCTGACAAATATTAAGATGACCCAACAAAAAATAAACACAATTGGCCGGGTATGGTGGCTCATACCTGTAATCCCAGCACTTTGGGGGGCTGAGGTGGGCAGATCATGAGGTCAGGAGATCAAGATCATCCTGGTTAAAACGGCGAAACCCCATCTCTACTAAAAATACAAAAACTTAGCTGTGCATGGTGGCACATACCTGTAATCCCAGCTACTCGGGAGTCTAAGACAGAATCCCTTGAACCCGGGAGGCAGAGGCTGCAGTGAGCCAAGATCACACCACTGCACTCCAGCCTGGGTGTCAAAGCGAGACTCAATCTCAAAAAAAAAAAAAAAAGTTTAGAATTCAAGTCTCACAGAAAAAAATTCTACTTTATATTACTCTTAAAAATATTCAAAACAGGCCGGGCGCGGTGGCTCACGCCTGTAATCCCAGCACTTCGGGAGGCCGAGGCGGGTGGATCATGAGGTCAAGAGATCGAGACCATCCTGGTCAACATGGTGAAACCCCGTCTC